TTTTTCTTCTTTTGCAGCAGCTTGTTATTGTGGAGGAATGTGTGGTACATTTACCCAAAGCAGAAGGTTGAAGATGATGGTCACATTTGTGTCAGTTGGTAATTATTTGATTGTTTTATTTTACTAGTTTTGAAGCTTTATATGGTCATTTGAATTTGGCTGCATCCACCACAAAATATACAATACCTTTATTACATATGAACTGACCATAATAAGTATGTTTCTTTATGTTTAAATGTACCACTTGAGAAAGTCTAGGAAGCATATTGAGGTCCTTGTTTTATTAGTGTGTCATTAAATCTGAGATTCAGAGTTGCTCATTCATAATCCCCAAATTAGTGCCACTGGCTCGAATTACTCCTTTAAAATGTATCCCTTGAACACAGTGATCTCTGCTTATGTGTTTGACATAGTGGCTCTGACATAGTAAAGATATTAAGAAATAAACAGGATATGATGACACAGCAGGCAAAAGTTTGGGAAGACAGATTAATAACAAATATTAGTGAATAATAAATAATAGTTATTTTGAATAATACATATATATAATTCGTTTTCTCAGTAATACAAAAAATACTAGCTACATTGCATGTTAAAAAGATCATTTGCATTAATACTGTTATAAAGGAAGGGGTTTGAGTTAAGTAGTCATTGAAGAGTCTCACACACCATGTGCAGTGCTGTTGTTCCACACATGAAAACATTGTAATAAGATATGACAGGAGTGTAAGCTTTAATTCAGGCAGATACACTGCAGACATTTGCATGTCACGAAAATGAAACACTTGAGCAGAGCTTAGCTCACTCTTTACACTGTGAGAGACAGAGAATGTGGTGAAGACTCATAACAGATGTTGTGCCTATGGGCCAGGCCACCCGTTATTATGCCAGGTAGTGGCTCAAAACATCTCTCCATGTTGATTTGGCCAGTGCCACTGAAAAATTATACCAATCGTGTGTTTGTAAAAGTCTCCTGCCACATGTGATGTGTTCGAAATGGCCTCGACTTTATTGTTTCGGTTTCAGAAATGCTAAACAAATCTCTGCTGTGCACACACACCGTGTATGATCCCCAAGATGTTGAGACAGTCTGGGGTTTTTGTACATTAGGATGCCCAAACAGGCTTTGGGAAGATGGAATGTTTCTTTTATGTGAAATTAAATAAGATCAGCTTGTGGGCCTCTGTCCTTCCTCTTCCGCTTTCCGTTTTATGTTCATTTCCATTCCCGAACAAAGCCGTCTCTCCACGGTGTATTAATGCCCATCAAAGGCCTCAATCAAGTTGCTTTGCCACAGGCTAAAGCCAAACTGGAGAGGCTAAAGTTTAATGTTGTCCGTTGCAGTGAGGATGTGGCCTAATTTCTCTTCAACATCCTTGTGTTTACATTAATACCCCCACATTTGCAAATGTCTTGCTAGTCCCATTAGTGGAACAAGGCATCTGAAAACAGCACAGGGCCATTTCAAGGTCTCGGACTGTGACAACAGTCTTACTCATTGTGCCACTAAGAATGTCTTTATGTATTTAACTGAGAGGGGAACATTTAGAAAATAAAACATAATTATACAAAGCTTCCTAAAAAATTTGTCACGGCTGTGAGTCAATAGGATCTTAGTTTAGAAGTATCCGGCAATGAGAAATATTTAGGAAGAAGCTGCCAGTTGTCTGCCAGGAAGGAACAAAATGCTCTGTCTGAGTCTTGATGAAACTTCCCTTGCACTTGTTTACTCTATCTTTTGTGTGCTCTAAGCAGTGCATGTAAAGTGTATTTCAATAACAACTGCATGGATATTGCACTAATAGATTTCCCTTTTAAATGTATCATACCTTTCCTAACTTATCAGATTTTTAAGCAATTGTAATACATATTTAAAAAGATCATAGCACATAATTAGTGAGTTCTCATTGCAAGTCGTTTTTCTTTCTGCTGTATTTGTTTTTATAATGAAAATCAAAACCATATCAATATGATCCTTATAATCCAGACCATCCACAATAAAATAAAAATCTACTGTCAAATTAAATACAGTTTGATGACTTTGAACCAATGCAAACCGATCAATAGAAAATTGAACTTCTGTCATCTTTTGTGAGGTCCTTATATGACTGTGAATTTATTTTATACAGTCAAAAACAAATTGTTTTGCTCCCTTATTCACTGCAGGTGGGCCTACTGTTATGGGAAAGCTTTCACTCACTGTTCCAGAAAAGTGGCACATAAATAATTGTTCAATAGTGAGGAACACAGCCCCTCATGCATTATCCCGGGCTATACAGACTGTGTATGGTTCTTATAATAAAGCAAGTACTCTTGCTAAAAATGTTGATACAATCCCCGTAAAAATCAAAGGGGATCAAATCATTCTTTTGGCACAAGCATGAACTGCACTCTAAACACGCCAATGAAAATATAAAACACACTATATTCCATATTTATTTACAGCTGTTGCAGACTCCCAGTAAATGGAAATAAAACGTTGGGCAAACAAAGCATTTCAGAGTCATGCTGTGCTCCCTTGTGCTTCCTGCTGAATATATTTTCACTATAAAATGATTGATCTATTAATGACCTTTCAGTTTCGGTGCCTGGTGTTGAACAAAAAAATCACATCAGAAAGAGCCTGCAAACAAGCAGCATTATTGAAATGCATTGTCACTCAATACGAAAATCTGAGTTAAAGCTGTAGCATTATGACATTACACAATCATTATCTAACATCAGCTCACTGCTAAGAATAGCCCAAACAGACTTGTAATGTTTCAGCAGGTTGAACATGCGGCTAAGTAATCATTAAGTCTGCTTCACTGCCATAAATCATGCTGTTGACATGCAGAGAAAGACTTCATAGTAATTTGATATTTGTTTGGCTTTATTAGATGCAACATAAACAGTTGTAAAATCATTCTAACTTTTCCCCTTTGGGACAGTCAGTTTACAGCTGAGTGTAAGCCAAGTTTTCAGAGCATGAATTTGCTACGAAGTACGAACACCTTTCAGCCTGACGGACTTTATTTGAAATCCAATCATATGAATGGAGCAGATTTCTCTTCCTCTCTCTCTTTTTCTTTATTCCCCTCACACATGGCTTGGGTGTGTTCATGTGTCCAGCATGTGTGCATGACTGTATATGTTTGTGTGTGTTGCTGTGTTTAAACTATAGTTTCTAGCTGTGAGTGTGTGAATGTCTCTACCGGATGCTAATAAGCAAATGTCAGTGAGCAACCTGAAGAGCAACAAACATTAACTGACCAGACACAAAAAACAGAAAATAAACCTGCACACATGGAGCAGAAGATACATGTGTGCTACCTTATTTAGTTAATCCATTTGAAAATAAGAAATTTGTATCATGATTTGGAAAATGTTTCAAAGAGGTTTGATATTTATTATAATTATATTAGATCTCAATTCACTGTTAATAAATTGTGTGAGCATTACATCTTGGAGAATATTTTAGGAAATTAAGTGAGATACATTGATTTCACTCATTCTTATGCATGTGAAAGCATTTCCCAAAACCAATTAAATGTATGATTCCCAATCTGGCATGAAATTGTTTCATTCTTTTGTGATTGGACTAATTGAAGCATATGTAATATTATTTATCAAAAATATATGTGGACTAAAGGGAATTTACATTGTTGGGAAATCATCACTTAAAATGATATGGCCTGACATGATGTGACAAATTAGCATTCCTGTGTGCATAATTCGTATTGTATCCTTAATATTAATCTCTGTCTTAAACTGTGTTCATTCATTTTACTGACACAACGTCTAAAAACCAACACAAAAAAAGTGTTGCATTTATCAATATACATTTTCTTATTGAATTAAATAATATTGTATTGAAAATAATTCGATTTTTAATAAGGACATTATGTCTTGTTTAATCCTGCATTCAGAATTACACATACATCCTTGTGTTTTTTGAACATGAGACAATTGTATTCCAATATTGTTTTGTTAAAATCAGACAGCCAATACCTTGATAATTGTGTCAAGGTATGTCTAATTAATCTAATCATAAAATACTGTATATTTATGCACATTTCTAGTAATCGAAGGTACTGTAACATTGGCGAAACTAGAAAGGCCTTTAAATAGATAGGCCTACTGCCATTATAATTAACGACAGGTTTGTTGCCTGCCTGTTAATTATGTTATTTTTTTCGAAAATGGATTGTAACTTAATAGAAAATGGATAATAAAACAAATACTTAAAATGCATCTGTGGAAAATAATAAGACTGCACTAAAATACACATAATGTAAGAGTAACATTACTTTATACTATTTCAGTCCAATTTTATTGTGGTTTATCATTACAAATGGTATGTTCTATCACTGGAAATGTGAAACGAAGTCATTGAGTCTTTAAAATTAAATGCTTATGGATCAAAATGTTAATGTTGATGGAATAGATAATTAGGATGCAAATTACTGTAGAATTCCTTTCAAGTGATACAAATAATACATTAAAAAGCTTTAACAAACATAATCACCGTTTTATACAGAAGCCATGCACAATCGGCTGAGTGATTTGCACTTGATGAACCATCGCAAATGAAGCGTAAAATCGTGCCCTCTCCATCCTAGTGCCATCACTCATGGGCTATATTCATATCCAAATGACATTAATGTCATGGGTTAAGCCCCCCGCCCCTATTTTGCCAACTTTTTTTCTTTTTCTGCAGCTAATAAGTGACCTAACTCGTTCATGTCATCGGCACAATCACTTGGGAGAGGTCTTGAAGCCAGGATATCTGGGTCCCATCCTCTGAGGAAAGAGGAGTTTGTGTAACTCTGCTAAAATCTTAGGGGGAGTTTGGAGTGTTTGGTCAACGACAGTGGTTCCTGGAAAAGATCTGAATCGTTTTATAACCAAACCCAGCTGCGGTGTGTGTGTATGTGTGTGTGTATGTTCATCTGTATGAGGTAGAGGGAGAGGAGGGGGTGTCTGCGCTTCCCTTTCCAAGAGAGAGAGAGAGAGGGAGGGAGAGAGAGAGAGAGAGAGAAGTTTGGTCTTTTTCTTCCCTTCAGTGTTTTTAAGCATGAACGCCGAGACCTGCGTTTCATACAGCGATATGACATCCATGGATTCATATTATATCCCCTCCGCAGTGCAAGGTAGGGATCTCCAGACGGATCACTTTAGGACATTCCCAGCCTCTGACACCAAATACAGCCCCACTGCCTTCCTGCCCAACAAAGGTCAGGCTTACGGAGAAAAGTCCCGGAGCCCCTTCCAGCAGGAGTGCCAGTCATTGGATGCCGCCGCAGCTGGGCAAGGCACTTTCAGCAAATACCACCTCTTCATGCAGAGGTCTTCTTGCAAGACACCCCCCGAGGAGGACAAACTGCACCAGGACAGCGGACACAACGGAGCGCTCATCTCCGGCTATGGTGAGTTCAAAAATACATAAGATGTGACTGAGTTACTTCCACTTCCCCTTGTCACTTATTATGTAGCAGAAAGTTGTTTTTATAACGTAGGATGCTTTCTCGAGGCAGTCTGGTGTCTGATAATACCTCTAACCTTTCATCAGCGTTATATGGCTCATCGTTGATCCACTTGTTTCCACTAGAATCCACAGATAGCCTGAAGTGGTTTGGACGTTTGGAATGAATTAATGGCAACCGACAGGACTGCGATGTGTCGTAGGCTACCTGTCCGATATTTACCTTCTGATTGATATTATCACACAAACAAATATATTTCAAATGGCTTGGTGCTTCCAGAAATGCATGTTTTCTTCTTCCTGTCTCCTGTAAGATGCGTAAAATGCAGCTGCAAACCTTCCTCTCGAGCAGCAGTGCACCGGACAGCTAAACTCGTAACGTCATGACCAGCAGATGTGCGTAACGCAGTTAAGAAGAGGTATAATCTTCTCGACTATCAAATTGTCCCTTTGGCCATCAAAATTAAATTAGGGCGCATATAATGTGATAATCTACATTACAATCCTTAATATTGGAGCTCAGTCGCACAATTGAATTAACAGGTTTTCAGATGGCACAAATAGTGAGCCTTAAACTGATAATATGTTCATTTACTTGCTCTGCCTGATTGGCTCCAATTATATTTAATTGCTCGGAGACGCTACTGTAATGGGTGCATGATGAGGGTGTAAATAAAACTTTGACCCTCGTTAGGCAAGCGGCCACTTTGAAGTAGTGTTTACCTAAAATAATACAATTTCCCCCCTAACTGGATTCACACATAAAACCATAATGAAAACTGTAGTGTTAAGCTTTTACATGCGTAAAGGAGCTTCATTTTGTCATCGTGGAAAACTGAATTCAGCTGGTTTAACCTTAACTGATTACCTGCCTAACGCACTCTCTCTCTCTCTCTCTCTCTCTCTCTCTCTCTCTCTCTCTCTCTCTCTCTCTCTCTCTCTCTCTCTCCTCTCTTCTCCTCTCTCTCTCTCTCTCTCTCTCTCTCTCTCACACACACTCCACACACACACACACACACACACACACACACACACACACACACACTCACACACACACACACACACACGCGCGTAAAGACGATTTAAAAAAAAATATGATTTAAGACAATAAGTAGACTCCACTCTATTGTAAATCCATAATGTGTTGAGTTTTGGCCCTCAAAAAATCAGGGGTATAATCACGAGAATAACAATCAAACAAAGAGAAGCGGGTCTCCAAAAATGACTGAATATGTTGTGTGTAAGAGCTAAGAAAAAAGGGAACAAATCTCATCATCATGGCTATGGTTTATTTAGGTATGAGATCCAAACTGACGGTTTATCAAAAAAATTCAAAGCGGATTTATGCATCGTGAACGAAAACCTTTTTTTTACTTGTTTGAAAACAAATGCTCTAAACGTGTATAGTTGTGAGATTATGACAATACCTGGTCTTGAATAAAGTCACAAAGGCCAAGATTTATTTTCCATATATCTCTCACTCTTTTAGTCTATATAATGAGTATTAACATGTGTTCCGGTTCATCTAAAAATAATCCACATATTGTTGTACCTATAGGCCTACGGGAAATAATTGATATCGTCAGAACTAAATAGCTACTGACATGATGAGGAATATTGTGATGTCGGAACCCCTGTTTAATCCCTAGATAAAACTACTTAAAAACGAACTGATGGTAGGCCTGTACGCAAAAAAACAGCGAGTAAAAATAATGATAATAATGACAACATAAATAAATAATGACATTTATTAATAATAATAATAATAATAATAATAATACTAGTATTAGTAAAATATGTACATGTTTTACGCATGAACCCATTGCCCATTTTTCATTGATTTGAATCCAATCACCTGTCCATCAGAGTTACACTAAAATGTTTATTGGAAGAACTTTAAGGATGTTTTGACAGTTTCTGGAAATCCGCCTGCAGAAAAAAGCCTTTCCAGCTGCAGAGATCAAACTTTTCTAAAGCTCCGGTCTTTAATTGGCTGTTTTTATTGCCTATTGAACTTGACATAGATCCGGTAAATCAACACCAAGTATAAATGTTATATTATGTTTTAAATAAATCACAGTTATTAGCCGAATGATAAACTGCCTATTAGTCCACATGTTAGACAGTTAACGAATTATCTTTAAATATCCACCAATCTTCTCTAATATCTACTATTTTAGGATTTCTTTGAATAAAACATCGCTATTCGCGGAGAGAGTTGGTCGTGTTTGCATTTCAGCAGCGAACACGAAGGGGCGAGATTATAACATGTCATTTATTGTGTTTTTTTCCATCGGGCTTTTACTTAAATATATCAATGCAGGTTGTCAGTTAAATGCAATTTACTTTTCTTTATCGATTATTTTGTTCTTTTTTTCTAGTCAGATCTGCTTACAATATTCGCACTCTCCTTTAATCAACACGGAGAAGTAAATATAACGACCGGAATTACAGAAGGGAAGGCAGGAAAAAACATCCCGGCGCTTATAGAGAAGAAGAGCTCTGGCATTAACGTAACTCAGATGTCAAACTTCTCTGTCTGCCTTTATTTCCCTGCTGAGTCACTTGGCACTAGTAAATCTCATTTGACTCTACATGCTTGCAGGAACGTTTTATATTTGTATAATCATTTTTACATCACCTATCTCATAATTGTTTAGATGTAACTTATGCACAGATAGTCTTTTAAAATTACCATATGCCCCTCGTGACAGTTTTCCTTATGATCATCCCAGACTGAAGGTTCTAGTTAACTCATCTTTTTATTGACTTCTGACTGGACATAAATTGAAGGCAGAAGTAAAATATGCTGAACATAGGAAAAGACTGGTAAATGATTCCTGATGTGTTCATTTGGCATTTGGCATATTTTACATCCTGAGTCATTTCTTTAATCAAACCTGTAATTAACAGATATGGCAGGCTAGATTCAAGTTGTCAAAAAAAACGGCTTTGTTTTATCATTTCTGTCTTGATCTGTTTACTCGAAGGTGATGACTGCTCTCTGAAGCTGTAACTGCGTATTAGAAACAGTCATATTTGTCTGCCATATAAACATTTAGAGTCACTACCAAAACAGTCACATGGTTTATTCATCCCTCCACATTTTTGATCATGTGTTGATGCATGAATGCTACAAGGCAGTTTTTTGGACAGCATCAGATTGAAATACATTTTAAGTCTAAAGATTTAAATAGTGTTTAAAGTGTTCGCCATATAACTATTTGCTACAGTGATGGAAGAAGTGTTCAGGCTGTTTAATTTAACAATACATCAATATAAAAAATATGTATCAAAAGTAAACGTCTTGAATGTAAAATGTTATGTAAGTGAAAGTACACAAATATACCAGCAAAATGTACTTAAAGCATCAGAAATCAATGTGGAGAGTTTAAGTGCAAACATTCCTATTCATTTGCAGCATTTTCATGTTAGACTATATCTTTATGAGCACCACCATTTAAAAAACAAATATACATCTATAATAAATTGATCTGGAGGCTCACTTGTTACTTGTAACAGCTATCAAATGAATGCAGAAAAGTAAAAAAAATGCAATATTTCTCTGTAATAATAAGTATTGAATGATGGACATTCTAAAGTAAATCTTTCAAAAGTATACTTAAGTTAAAGAAATGTTTCTGGGTGTCAAAAAAGTAATGTTGGCCACCAAACAATGACATATTTGCTTTATCAACATATAGATAGTCAAACCGGACTTCTTGACTGTCGAATAAGGCCCTAAGGATGATTTACTCGGTCACTTCATAGTCTTTAAAGCAGCCACCTTAGTCTTTGTGATCCTCCAGAGACAACACGCTTCCTCTTTTGATGTTTCCGTGTCTTCCCTCAGTGTCTGCGGGTGCTGACCTTTAGCTCGGCTTTCCTGCCCTCATCTGTTTGGAGAGCAGGGCAAGTTTCCCTGCACGCACACAGCAGAGAAAATCCATTTAAAACCCCCTTTTTGAGACTCTCTGGTGTCAAAGACAAGCACATTGAAACATTTGGAGTCCAGTTTTACATAGCAGACATTTAACTGCACCATTAAGAGAAAGGATGTTACTTTGTTGTTGCTCAAGTGTTGAATTGTAGGACTAATTATGGGGGGATCATGCCTTTTAGCTTGTGACTTTGCACGATAATGACACACATAACACACTGCTGGTGTAATTCAAAGACATACAAGGCTGCAGTTTATTCTTGCTTTTACCATAATTTATTTCCTGGGCAAAGCGAGAATTTGATGCAATCGTACTGACCGAGAGCAACCATTTCAGCCCCTCGTAATGGCCGTCTGTGTAGATTGGTTGGAGCAGGGAGTAATGGGAACCAGCCATGCAGCCCAGACAACTGAGGCACACTTCAGCAAGTCAATGACATGAGTGAAGGTGACAAGGACTCAGGATCATTTTACCATTTAGCTTAAAGTTTGGCGGTGCAGTTCACATTAGGCTCAGTTTGCATGGCCGAGTGAGAGCAGCAGGGCTCGTAGTCCAGGACTTCCTCTTTGTCACCACTTCATGTAAACTGAACGCTGAAACAGAACCAACCGTGGAGGACGGCATATCTGAGATTTTTTTTTAATCTGTTGCATGTCGGTTCAATAAGGTGACTTTTTTCGCCTCACTTCACATTTATTTATATATGGTGTCCATGTAAGGCCAAACACTTTTCGTACATTTTCAGCAGTAAAGGACAACCTTTTTTAAGTTAATACTTTGAAGGTTTTAAGGTATTTCTTCCTTGTGTGCAGTCATGGGGCTTCACAAATATCTTATCATGTCTAAGTTGTAAAGTATTTGAAACTCTGATGGCTTTTGAAAAGTAACTTGCTTGACCACAGGATTTTAAACATATATTTTAACTACAAACACACATAGGCTAAATTAAGTAAAAAACGATTTATTTCAGGAGCAGCTATAGTGCTTTTTATTTTGTATAATA